CAGCTTTCTAGTCCTTAGATGCTTTTACTTATTATTTTCACCTGGTGATCGTGCCAGTATCATACTGCTTGTCCTAGAGTATTGTCACCCTAGGCGGCTCTTTTGTTTTGGGCTACAAACACCTCCTCTTCTCAGCACCATTACATAGGGAGGAGGTCTTTTGTGGTTAACAGAAATTGGCTATAATTGGTTGATAATTTTATCAGGTATTTTTCTGTACTTGCAGAAAATGAACTGTACCATGCCTAAAAAAATAAAACAAATGCAGCTGCCGCATCTAAGGACTAGTAAGTTGCAATCTGTAAAAAAAAAATTCTCCCCATATGTTGTTAAAACTTTGTTGTGTTTTCCGTAAACCTTTTAAATGTTCACTACAAGCATTTGTCAGTAATGTGTTTTTTTTTTTAAATGAATCAATGATTGAAATTGACGACTCAAGTTTCCCTCTTACATATTGAGAATCACACTGTTTAGTGATAGTGACCAGGAAACATTCTGACTGAATTCTCTTTTTAAACTTTTAACAGAAACAATGGATCATTGGGATTTTAGTGCTGGTGGCGGCTGGCATAATTGCCTTGATTATTGGTTTGTCAGTTGGCCTTAAATGAAGTTTGGGGTTTTTTCTTTTTTATTTGTTGCCATTATGAATGCACATCTGCCTGTGTGGCAGTAAGTAACATATTCATTTTTCTTCTGTGCTCCCTCATTATACCATCAGGCTTAGGCGTAAGAACAATATTTTATGACAACATGATAAGACCGCTATAGCTAATTGGCTGTATTTACATTTTGGTAAACGTGTAAGAGATCAGTTTGGTATTAAATAAGGTTGATTGTATAAGGAGTGGGCAGCACAACCGTAGACTACCCTATGATTGCTGTATAGACACGGGCTGTTTATAGTGGTGATGGCATCTCACATTTATCAGTTACACAACAAATGTTTAAAAAGCCTCTTGTGGTAAAGAATTATTACATTTATGGATAACAAAATGAAATGTTCATGAGCTTATCGTAAGTGAAAGAAAAGAATATTTTCTATCTGGCTTGAATAAATAAAACAAAAAACTGCTAAATAATATTGGTCCCACTTTTAGCTTAACATGTCTGCTAACATCTGCTAGCACAATTGGTCAGCCGTAGTCCTAAGAATGTCCAATATCTCATTTGCACATGTAATGGGGGGTACTTTTACATAATCATATTCAAGGCTCCATTCACATCTAGGCGATACCTAATTATGCGTGTTTTCCGCGTGCATTTTGTGCGCATTTTTCACGCATATAATAAGTCCTTTCATTTTTGTGAGCAGATTTTGGCACATTCATGTGTATGGGCAAAACGTACACACATTGTTCTTAAGCCTTTTCTATTGAGTCTATGGGATAAATTTGCCCCAAAGTAGCTCATGTACTATTTCGAGCGACAGGCGTATTTCTGCTTGCGACAACTCACAGGTGTGAAAGGGGGCCATAGAAATTAGGGATGCATTGATACCGGGTTTTTGGTATCGAGTAAGAGTACCAATATTTTGCTTTCGGTACTCGCCCATACAGAGTACTGATATTCTGTGTTTCCATTGACATGATATCTGTTATCTGTGTTTCCACTGACATGGAGCCGGCTTCCCGGGCAATCAGGCAGCGGGTAATGACATGCCACCTGGCTTCCTGATTGCCCGGGAAGCTGCTTCCATGTTGTTTGGCCAGCTAGATTGTGATTTGCTGGGAAACCGGCTTCCCAGCCAATCAGCATCAAGCCGGCTTCCCAGCCAATCAGGAAGCCGCGCGGCGATTTAATGACCCCCCTCCCG